TTCATGGAAAAAAAAATCTTATTATAACAACAACAAAGATTTGTATATTTTTGACTTTATATTTCCTGAGCTCTCCTGACTTTGTGAAAAAGGGTGGTTAAGAATGCATTCCGAATCTGCGAGGGCCCAAAACAGAATTAGGGGTGGGAGAAAGCACTTGTGCTTTAGCTTTTTCATATTAAATATATATTATATTTAAACATTCATGGCATAGATGATGGTTAACAGACTGTTTAAAAGTTCAAGTCTGTATCGTTGCAGTTTGAGAATTGTAGATAACATCATACATAAGTCATTTAGTAACAGCATTCATGAAATCAACTTGTTTACTATTGGAGATAACCACATTAATAAAGAAGAGACCAAGAAAGTACCATCGTAAAAAAACTTTTAAGTTTCTGTTATAGCGGAGATTCTTGTTTAAAAAAAAAAAATCATCTGAAAAGCATTTGTACAGTAAAATGTATAATGAAGCTTTGACAACCAGACTGTGCTAGCAACAAATTTTCTAAAACAGCTTTCTGCAGTGGTGATGAAGTGGCCTCTAATATACTATCATGGAGAGTTATTAGTGAAATGAATGTGGTCTGTCTTAAGGCCCGAGTGGACTGTAGACTTTGCGGATGGTATCACTCTTGTCTTCTGGCCACTCGATATTTAAATCTATGAAATATCATTTTGAAAGAAATACATTTATACATAACATACATGAAGAGATGCTAAGCTGACAGCGGTATTTTAGCACATTTGAAGAAGGGGAAAGGATTTTCAGGTGAATTTTAACTGGTCTATTCTTGCCCTTAGTATCTACTTCAAATTGAAGTCTACAAACAAAGCAGTTCCTTTGGGAGGTTTTTAGTTTGAGTTTTAGCATGTATGTGTGTGTATATGTGTGTATGTAAGCGTGTGTGTGTGTGTGTGTTGGAATTTCCTATCTGCCTGGATATATTAGCAGGGTTTGAATGTAGTTTCGGCCTTTGGCCATTAGACTTATATTAAAATTCATTAATAGTCACACAACCAACATACCGTTGATTGAGAACCACCAATGTACTTAATAGGCATGACATCCATTTCAAACATCTCAACACTTAAAAAAGCTAAGCCCTTTGTTTCAAGAAAAAGGGGTTTGTAACTAAATATCTAACATGTAATTGACACTAAAAATATGAACTTTGTCTTAGTTTCTGTTACAGCTGTAAAATTTCAGGCAGAGCCATAAATAACATTGTACAAAGTGTAGCACTTGTGATTAAACCTTGCCTGTCAAATTCTGAAACCTTCAGCCATTACTTCTGTGAATACTTTTGCCCTGGGATTTGGGTTTTTCTGTTCCAGTGTTGTGTCTGTTGCCGGCAATGGACACACCATATCTGCTGCTGGCCCAAGGAACTTCATTAAATTTTCTTTCCAAATTAAGCATTATATGTGCTAGTCAGTGTATAGTAAAGCACTTCTTTTTTTTTATTATTAAAAAGCTGGCATTAGACTTGCATTATAAATACCTCTCTAGAAATTTTATACTCCTTTTCCTTCAACAGGTGTTGCCCTTAAATCTTATCTTTTTGGCCTTGAAAGTTTATAGCTGTTGTTTTTCATGTGTTGGTTCTTTTGTTTGTTTTGTTTCATTTTAGTTTTGTAGTACCTGCCCATTAATATTTTTGCTTTGATTCTAGCAATGTATATGTATCTGTATAAAAAATAAAATAATGAAAGCAGCCTAAAAATAGGATGCACCAAATAGCATGTGGTTCCAAGCAAGTTGTGATTTTTATTTTGAGACAATGTTCCACTGGAAGGGAGGGAAGGGCTTACATTCACAGACAGGAGAGCAGGGCTATGCAAGGAGCCACATTCATTTACAAGCTCCTTTCTAGCTAGGTTCATTTATTTGAAAGTTATGAATGGTAGCCTTTTGAACTATCTAAAACAGACAGGCAATGGAAGGATTCCTACTAGTGCAAGGTAAGTGGTTAGAATGTGCAAGTGGCCTATCCTGCCCCCAGTCTTCCTCTACCATTTTAGTCCTGCAGCTGGTAAAGCCACTGCCATGTCGAAACTCCCATGTACCCTGTCTCTACCTCTGGACACAACAGCTCCTGCCTCCATCTATTAGTTTTACTCTTCAGTTAAGCAAGTGATAAAACGTATTAAGTGGGTAGATTATTTCTTTTACAGGATGCCTAATGTGAAATAAGGAGTTCTTTTTAGTCTTCTGCTACAGAGAGCAAAAGGTAATTTTTATCATAGTGAAGAAGTTCCACTTAGCAGGTGTCCCGCTGACATGGGTTACGATGCCACTTTTGCTGCCTGGTATTTATCAAACTTGAATTAAATGTTTGTGAACTTGATAGTGTATCCCTTCTAACCTTATATTCTGATTAAACCAATTAACTATATTTGATCTACAAAGAGTGTAATCTAAACAGCTGATACTTATAAGTTATTACTATGCAGATTAAGTATGGGTGATTAAATGTTAAACAGTTCAAAATTCTGCTACTTGGTGTTTAGGTTCAGTTCTTGAAAGAGGCTGTTCACTAAAGTATTAACTCTGAACATACTTTGATTAAGTTTATAAAATTAGGAAAAAGTAAATGCCCTGTATCCAAAGAACATATTTCAGTCATTAGGCACGGGACAGGGCATAGGACAGCAGCAATTCATCTAGAGTTTAGAACATCTTGAATCCTTGTTATTAGAGTACTAACCATGGATTTTGGTTCACAATAGCTGCTGTATTATAGAGCTTTTAAGACTTTAACCCCCCTTTTTTGAAATACAAGTCAGACTCCTGATATAAAACTCCACAGTCTATATAGCAAATGTATTAAGGAGAGATTATAGTTTAGTACTCAGAATATTTGGTTTGCAATTTCTGTAAAGGTTTGAAAGTGAGCCAAATTTTCACAAAGCAGAAGCTTTGAATTAAGTTATGTGAAAAAACTCAGACTGAAAATACACGTTTTGTTTTTGTAGGCGTGCTGATGAAATAGTGTTTAGTGTAAAACATTTTACATTGTTGACACATTACTAGAGAATGATGGCAGAGAGATTTCGAAGACTATACCTGATATGTTAAGGTTAGGTTTCCTTAACACATCTTTTTCCAGTTGGTCGAGGGTGCAAATTCAGAGAACAGAGAGAATAAAGAATCTTCTTTAAAAAATGTGAACTGCCAAAGTTCCAAGGACTTCAAATGCTAAAGAAGTTGTTGAAAAAACGATTTTTAAAATAATATTACAAGTTCTAGTTTTCATATTTCGGTTGATGGAAACCATCCCATTATATACATTTGAGCAAAGTACATATATTAAGAAACATGTAGACTTGTTATTTAACGATAAAATGGTGGGAAAATGTTAGCTACTTTTAAGTGGGATTGACTTTGCCATAAGGAATGCCTTTTTAGCTTATGTTTGTGGGTTGAAAAATGATAACCATTTGCTAGTTTGTACTACTGTACATCTGAAAGGAGCCTAATGAATCTACAAGTTTAATACACAGAAAAAGTTGTGAACTCTGCCCTCTGCCCTTCGCCAACACAGTGGAACAGGTCCGTGATTCATGGTTGTTGCCTCATGGCTATAAATCTTTTTTTTTAATGAACATATATATATATATATAATATACATATACACACATATGTGTGTGTATACATACTTTAGATGTTAGAGGAAATCCTCTGAAATGGTTAATTGACAAGTAATAAGGCGAATAACTGTAACTGATATGAAATAAAGAAATTTTAATTACAGAAAGTCTAGAGAAAAATAGTGAAGTTCCTCTTCTTGGTTTGACATTCTAAAAATATACCTGGTTCTCTCAAGAAACGAGAATGTCAAACTGCAAATCTGCTGTAATCTACCTAGTCCTCTGCTTAATATCTGTTATTAAACTTCCTTAGAATAAAACCCATTCCTATTTTTTCCACCATTCCCAGATTTGTACCTATAAACCTGTCTTGAAAGTGGCAAGCTAACTGCTGATTTTCTTCATTGTTTTTATACCAATCCTGGAAGACAAGGTCTTTTGCTATCAATGTATTTAAGCTGGGTTATTGTGTTATGTGTACACTTAATTTGTTTTCAGAATATATCACTCCAACTTAAATTGTCATTTAACATTTTTTGAGTGCCAAGAATTGCTAAGTAACTATGTAACATATATTGAATATAGTGTCATTCCCCAGCAAACAACAGTTGTTAAAAGCCAAAATGTAGTGTGCTTGGTATATAACCACTTTAGATTGATTGTACACTCAATGCTTTTTTAATTCATATAAACTCTCAGAAAATGATTAGAGTAGGATTCCATTAGTGGATTTCCCCCTTCATTTTGGTCATATGTAAGCTCAATATTTTTTTTTCATTTTATATTTCTACCATTTTGCTCTGGGAAATGCTGCAATCCCAATTCTGGCACATTGTAGTGATTTCAGTTAATGAAGATGTTTTTATTTTAATAGCTTTAAGATTTCTATCCTGTGCATAAGTTATATGAGAGGGCATAACAAATTAATAAATGCATAGAGATTTATTAATTAAGCTCCTTAGACATTTTGAATAAGAAAAAACATTTTTAAAGGAACTACGTTTGTGTGTTTTGCCAAATCGGTACAAGCTAGAAAATGCACTAAGGACTGAGTGACCTGCCTTGTTCATTTTGCCACTGGATAATGTAAGTTAAGAATGGTATTGTTAACCCTAACTATATGTTTTCTTAACTTTCATCAGTTTCTAAAGAAATCTACTTTAAGTGTTTGGGGTTTTGTTTAACCTGTATTTATTGAGTTCTGGTATAGCCCAGGAGCTGCATGTCATGCCATGGATGGCCAGAACACAGTCACTGGGAAACGTAATGGCTCAAGACCTTCTGAATCGTTTAACTTATTTTGTATGTTGCAAAAAAAAAAAGTTTATTTTGCTTGAGAGTCACATTTTTTATAACTGTACAGCTTTTAAGGGATGGGAAGTGGAAAAATACCCCAAAATAGGATGTAGATTTTTACGATTGTGTTTATGCTAGAAACATCTACAGGTGCATTATGTAATTAAATCAAAAATTGTTCAAAAATTCGTGCCATGGTCGTTCATTCTCCTGCCCTTTAGCAGAGTTGGTGCATATCAATACTGCTATATGGACGAGCTTTGAAATTAGGCTAATAATCCTTGTCTCCAAAGCTTTAAGATCATTGCATGAAAATTACACAAACGCAGATCTAATTTATATTAGTGTAAATGGATTTTTAACTTTGGAACCGCTATAATAACCCAAATTTGGCAGTTAACAGCATATTCTTTACGTGATTTTTGTGATGCCTAACTAGGGTATTCTCAGTGTTGGTCTGGTGTTTTGTTCTCTTATGAAAATAGCTTCTTGATAATGGTATCTGAATTGTTGTAACTTGCCCAAACCTGCCAGGAGGTTTTGTATACATCCTGAAAGGGAGTGTCCTGTGCTGGGATCAGGGGCGGGTGGGGCACCGTTTGGTTTCTTTTCAATCTGTAAAAGAAGGAAAAACCAGAATTGCTCAATTTGATTCTTATTATTAAATTGACTTAATTCCACAGGAATGTTCGTCTGCTGGAAACATGGTAGAAAAGGATATTAGCTTCAAATTCCAATTTCCTCATTTGATAAAAAAATATTTTGACCACTGGTAGAGCTGCTGATTCTAGCAGTCTTACATAGCACATTTTATCATGACTTTAAATGCCATATAATTTTGCCATTCTAATTTCTCACCTTTGTAGCAAAAGTGTATTCTTGTAAAGAATTAAATTCATCTAAGTGTGTCATAATTTCTATCCAAGCCACCTTTATCATCAGCTAATGTGGGGTGTCAATTTCTTGGCTATCCTCATCTGTTCAGAGGTGAAGCCTGGGAATCTTGGATTTCCAGGCAAAAAATACAAATTCCAGATAGAATTTGTAAGTGGTATATGTTAGATTTTCATTTCAATTTTAAAGTAATAGCTGGGATTCAGGGGAGTGTTTGATCAGAATGCCTCTTGGATTTTCAGATATATGAAATGCTTTATTTTCCTATGCATAAAAAAATTATTCCTGGAATAGGTTCTCAGAATGCTTTATTTTGTTTCTAGGAGATAGGAGCTAAAGCAGAAGCTTCAAGGTTAACATGAGACTGTTGAGGTAATAGGAACATGCTGTTAGTCAAATAAGGGAAGCCAGAGTGCTCCCTACCACATATAATGTACTGCATGTGTGTGGGGGGTGGGTGGGGGCGAGAACTGAAAACTGGAAATGTGACTCCAATAATGCGCAAAGTAAATTTTGTGCATAGAAAATATGGGAATTCCTGGTGGCTTAAAGCTTCGGGGGTTAACTGCAGTGTATGAACACCTAGTGTGTTAGAATTGCAGTGCATAGTTGTTTAAATACAATACTCCTTGTGACAACCAGAATATGTTGTGGCTAGTGCCAATATTTTTGTTAATGAAATGTTCAGTGTCTCACTACAGTCTGATCAGAACTCTTGATGTTATAAGCTAGGCCTAAAGCTATTTTATAGCTATTAGCCTAATTGTGTAACTTTTTCTTTCAAAATGTTTTATTATAATACTTATGTCATTTCTTTCACTTAATATATGTCATAATAAAAAATTTAAATAATTTCATGTATTTAGCATGATGTGTTTGCAAACAGTTTTATTTTAAACTTTGGGGCACATGGAAAACTAAGAATTTTCTATAACAGTTAATGAAGGTTGAAATTTTTTATCACCCTAGGGATAGATGAATTGTTCTCTTTCTATCTAGAAAAGAAATTTGCAAATACATCAAGTTTCCCCAAAATAATTTTTAAGGCTATTTGCCAACTAGGTGAATTATAGATGTGAGAAAGATACTCTTGATTTCTATCTTTAGCCTCTGGAGAACTGACACCTTAAAGAGGCCTTGGACTTGTCCTTTGTGACCCTATGGGAAAACAGTTGGACCCAGAAGGCAGAACCCATAAGGCAAAAGCTTTCTGTTTATCCTATAGAAAAACTAGTTTCTAATAACTTGAGAGTGGATTCTCACCAATAGGGGACACTTGGGTTTAGGCTGAAGTGCTAATTTGCAGGAGTATAATAAACACATTTGAGAAGAGGATACACTAGATGACTTTAAGGTGCGCTACCAACCTGAATATGATTCTCATCTACAAATGTTGATTTGATAAATTTTCCTTACTCTTGGAATACAGGAAGATTCATAGCAAAGTTTTTTTTACCAACAAACAGAGTTGATCACTATTTACAATTCTGATTAAAAACACTTAACTGTTCAGGTAAAGAACTTTTGAATCAATTTCACTTAATGGAATGAAAGCTGATCTATGCTGGCGAGAAATGACCAGGTATAATGCTTCTCAATGATTTATATGAAATTTTCACTTAGAATCAGTCAAGCAGAAGTAACATGCTGTGTTGGAGGCTAAAGGTGACAGTGCTATGGCAGCCTTGAGAGAGTTCAAAGGAGTCTTTTCTGGGGCTGAGAGTGGGGTCCAGAACATGGCTGTGAGCCCACATCTCAGATTATGAGACCAGAGGATACAGAAGAGTGCTTCTCTTGTAAAAAAAAAAAATTGAGACTTGGTGCACTATACTGGATCATTTGATGGGGGTGGAATTATAACAAATAATAAAAATATTATAGTGAAGTTAAATGCTGGGTGAGATGAATGCTTGTGTCATTTTGATTCTTCAATGACTTTTCATGAGCTCTTTGAGGTCCTAAAAGTCTAAATGAAAATCTAAGAGAACACTCTAAGGGGATGTGATGATATTCGCAACATTAGCACATCGTCTTATCTCAAATGAAAAGTTAACTAGGAACCTTCTAGTTCATTATAGGCCACCTACATCTTCATTATTGTTCCTCTTGCTCATTTCAGAGCCACTTTATCCACTCTCAAGCATCCATCTTTCTCCTGCCTGTCTCCAAGGAGAAGGTGTCTCCATTTTTGCCACATCCCCTCTGCTTGTCTCCGTGACCTGCTACCTTCCCTCTTGCCTCCACTGGGTCTTCACATCTCAATGATCTGTCTCTGATCTCTACCCCTGTACGCACTCCTTGCTATACAAAAGCTCTTTCTATCATGAAAAATGAAGTGTCATCCTGTTTCCCATTCAATTTGCCTCTCAACTTTCACTTGATTTCAAGTCTTTAAAATAGACTATAGAAATGTTGAACTATATTTGAAAATTCTCATTGAAATATCAGCAATTCCTAAGAGAAGCTCTAGAAAACCAGCATGCGTCTCAGCAGCATACTCAAAGTCCATCATTAGGAACAACTATTACAGAAAGCTGAAACTTATAGTAGAGGAGATGGCCTTCCCTCTTCCTTGCACTTGTTTCACGTTCTGTTAAAATGTCCATGTTATTTTCTCTTTGGCATTATTGCTACCTAGTGGGATACCAGTAATTGCATCATGAACTCATGAAATCGAATAGCTCTTACTCTATCATTTGGAACCAAGAAGAATTTGATTAATGATAGGATCTGATTAGAACTTATGCTGACTCTAGTTTGAACCATAAAAGTAGATTTTCTGTATTTCAAGTCTTTTAAAAAAACAAACAAACATGAATTTTGATGGTAACTAGGGCTTACTGACAACAAAGAAGCAAACTTGCTCAATGCTAAAAAATCGGAAAGTTGGCTTTAGATTCAGACTGATCTAGAAGGCAGGGCTGGAATTTTCCTGGGAGATGTTGTAAGGCGAATTAGGACAGTGCCAAAGAGGCAAGGCTGAAAGGCAACAGTCCACAACCAGAAAAGGCATGTGATAGGTTAGGAAGCAGTCTTTAGGATGATTGTCCTGTGACACAGCCACTTTTAATAATCTGGACGTACTTATGCAATGGTTTCCAAAATAAAAGTATTTATAAATTTTATTTAAAAGACTTTCTTCTTGGTTTTTAAAATTGAGATATAATTCACATACCATAAAATTCACCATTTTAAAGTATATATACAATTCAGTGGTCTTCAATATATTCACAAGGTTGTCATCATCCCCCAAATAAACCCCGTTTTATTATCTGTCACTCACTATTCCCCTATTCCCCCTGGCCCCTGGATATCATTAATCTACTTTCTGTCTGTAAGGATTGCCTGCTGTGGGCAGTCCACATAAACAGAGTCATACCACATGTGCCTTTTATGTCTGACTTCTTTCATGTGGCACATTTTCATGATTGCATCCATGTTTTAGCATGAATCTGTACTTCATTCCTTTTTATGGATGAATAATATTCCACTATATGTACATACCACATCTTGTTTATCCATTCACCAGTTGACTGATATTTGTATGGTTTCCACTCTTGGGCTATTATGAATAAAAACATTGTGTACAAGTTTTTGTTTTCAATTCTCTTCAGTATACACCTGAAAATGGAACTGCTAGATCATATGGTGACTCTGTTTCATGTTTTAAGGAACTGCTGAACTGTTTTATATGGCATCCGAAATCTTTTTACATTTCCATACCAATACATTAGGTTTCCAATTTCTCTACCTCAATAACACTTATTACTGTCAGTCTTTTTTATTACAACCATCCTAGTGGATAGGAAGTGGTTTTTCATTGTGGTTTTAATTTGCATTTTCCTGATAATCATGTTGACCATCTTTTCATGTGCTTTTTGGCTACTTATCTATCCTCTTTTCAGAAACATCTATTAAAATCCATTGCCCATTTTTAATTGGGTTATCTGGTTTTTCATTGTTGATGTGTAAGAGTCCCTTATATATTCTGGATAGCAGCCCCTTACCAAAAACATGATTTGCAAGTATTTTTTCTGATTTTGCAAGTTATCTTTCTACTTTCTTGATGGTGTTCTTGACACACAAAGGTTTTTAATTTTGATGATGTCCAATGTTTTTTTCTTTGCTCACACGTTAGATATCATATCTAAGAAACTATTGCCTAATTTATTGTCACAAAAATTTATTTTATGTTTCTTTGCAAGAAAGAGTTTTGTAGGTTTAACTCTTAAGTTTAGGTCTTTGATCCATTCTGGGTTATTTTTGTATGTGGTGTGAGTTAGAGACCCAAATTCATTCTTTTGCATGTGGCTATACAGTTGTGCCAGAGCCATTTATTGAAAAGACTATTCTTTCTGCCGTTGAATTATGTTGGCATCCTTGTTAAAACTCAATTGACCAGAAATGTCTGGGTTTACTTCTGGACTCTCAATTCAATTCCACTGATCTATACATCTATCCTAATGGCAGTACTACACAGTCTTGTAACTTTGTAGGAAGTTTTGAAATGAAGAAGTGAATCCTCTAACTTGGCTCTTTAAAAAAAATATACTTTGACTATTCTGGGTACTTTGAATTTTCGTATGAATTTTCAGTTTGGTTTGTCATTTCTGTAAAAAAAGGCAGTTGAAATTGAGAAAGGGATTGCATTTAATGTGCAGATCATTTGGGAGATTATTGGCTTCTTAACAATAGTAAGTCTTCCAATTAATAAACATGAGATGTCTTTTCCTTTAAGTCTTAATTTTTTCAAGAATGTTAGTAGTTTTCTCTTGTTAAATATATTCCTGTGTATTTTATTCATTTTGATGGTATTATAAATGGAATTGTTTTTCTTAATTTCACTTTTAGGTTGTTCATGCTAGTGTATAGAAATACAACTGATTTTTTACTTAGGAATAAACTTAACCAAAGATCTGAAAGACCTGTACACTGAAAAAATACAAAGTGTTAGCGAAAATAAATGGAAAGACATCTCATGTTTATGGACCTGAAGACAATATTGTTAAAATATCAAGACTATACCCTAAAATGGATTTTCTGAAGAAGTAAGAAAATTAATCCAAAAATTCATATGGAATCTCAAGGGATCCTGACTAGCCAAAACAAACTTGAAATAGAACAAAGTTGGAGGACTAACACTTCTTGATTTCGAAACTTACTACGAAGCTACAATAATCACAGCAGTGTAGTAGAAATACATGTGGCATAAAGACAATCATATGAATCAATGAGATAAAATATAGAGCCCAGAAATTAACACTCACATATATGGTCAAATGATTTTGACAAGAATGCCAAGGAAATTCAATGGGGAGAATAATGTCTTTTCAACAAATGGTCCTGGGAAAACTAGGTATCTACATGTAAATGAATGACATCGGACCCTTATATAACACCATATGCAAAAATTAAATCCATCAAACACCTAACTGAAAGACTTAAAAGTATAAAAACTTCAGAAGAAAACACAGAAGAAAAGCTTCATGACACTGGGTTCGGCAATGATTCCTTAGATATAACACCGAAAGCATAGGCAAGGAAAGAAAAAATTGAAATAAATTTGACTACCTCAAAATGGAAAACTTCTGTGCATCAAGCACAATAAACAGAGTGAAAAGGCAATCCGTAGAATGGGAGAAAATATCTGAAAATTGTATATCTGATTAGGGGTTAATCTCTACGATATATAAAGAACTTCTACAACTCAACAACAACAAAAAATCTGATTTTAAAATGGGCAAAAAGACTTGAATGGACATTTCTCCACTGATATACAAATGGCCAATAAGCTAATGAAAAGGTACTGAACAAGACAAATACTATACTAATTATTAGGGAAATCAAAATCAAATTTTGATTAACCTCACACCTATTAGGATGGATACTATTTTTTTTTCTTTTAAAGAAAAAACAAGTGGTGTTGAGGATATGAGAAATAGGGATCCTTGTGCACTGTTAGTGGGAATGTAAAATGGTGCAATCGCTAGGGAAAAAGTATGGTAGTACCTCAAAAAATTAAAAATAGAATTACCACAGGAGTCAGCCACTTCAATTCTGGGTGTAAACCCAAAACAATTTAAAGCAAGATTTTAAGGGGATATCTGTATACCTGTGTTTATGGTAGCACTATTCGCCACAGCCAAAAGATAGAAGCAACCCAAGAATCCAATGATGGATAAATGGATAAACAAAGTGTAGTAAAATATACAATGGGATGTTATTCAGCCTTGAAAACGGAGGAAATTCTGACACATGCAACAACATGGATTAACCTTGAGAAAATTATGCTATGTGAAATAAGCCAGTCACAAAAGACAAATACTATACGATTCCACTTTTTGAAGTATCTAGTCAAACTCATAAAGCAGAGAACAAAATGGTGCTTCTGCCAGGGACTGGGGGTGGGGTGAATGAGCAGTTATTATTTAATGGGTACAGAATTTTAGTTTTGCAAGATGAAAACTATACGTGGATAACAGTGATGGTTACACAACAATGAGAATGTACTTAAAAACATTGAACAATACTGTTGAAAACGCTTAAGATTATAAATTTCGTTATGGTATTATATATCAATTAAAAATGTTAAAAATACAACTGATTTTTGTCTATGTTGATTTTCTATTCTGCAACCTTGTTAAACGCATATATTAGCTTTAATAGTTTTGTGTGTTGATTCCTTAGTATTTTATAGCTACAAGATGAAGTCATCTGCAAATATAGTTGGATTCCTTTCATTTCTTTTTCTTGCCTAATTGCCTGGCTAGAACCTCCAAAACAATGTTGAATAGAAGTTATGAGAGTGGACATCCTTGTCTTTTTCCTGATCCTAGCAGGAAAGCAGTCTTACCGTTCAGTATGATGTTAGCTGACAGTATTTCGCACATGTCCTTTATCAGGTTGAGAAAGTTCCCTTCCACTCCTAATTTTTTTAGTTTGCGAGTGGTTTATTTTTTAATCATGAAAGGTAGATAGATTTTGTCAAATGCTTTTTCTATATCCACTGAAATGACTCATGCTTTTCTTCCTTTATTGTATTAATATGGTGTATTATACTGGTTAATTTTCATATGTTGAACCAACCTTCCATTCCTGGGATAAATCCAACTTGGTCATTGTTTGTGATATCTCCAAGACCACCCCCAGCATCAGTGATTCCTTAGGAAGACTCACAGGACACAGCATATAGTTGTATTCACAGGTATGATTTTTTCATAGCTAAAGGATAAAAAACAAAATCAGCAAAGGGAAATGACAAATGGGCAAAATCTAGAGATAACCAGGCACAGGCTTCCCAAGAGTCTTTTCCCAGTGGAGTCACACAGAATGCACTTAACTCTCCCAGCAATGAGTTAAGGCAACATGTGTGAAATGTTATCTACCTGGGAAGCTCATTAGAAACTCAGTGGCCAGGGTTTTACTGGGAGCTGATGACACAGGTACCATCTTGCCTAGCACATACCAAAATTCCAGACCCCCAGAAGGAAAGTAGGTGTTTAGCATAAACTACATTGTTTGCCCAAGCAATTTAGAAACAATGAACTACTCTTAACAATTAGGTTGGTAGGAACCCTCTTGAAATCAAAGTTCCCAGGATGTAGTGAAGGGCCAATATTTTACCAGTAGGCCTTTCTAGGGATAAGCATTCTGAGGCCTGTTTTGGTAGCTCTTTTTGCACAATCCATCCCCTTGGCCCTTGGTCTTACAGCAAAATTATCAGTAAGACCCCACACAGAAGGGTGAGAAAAAACTGTAGTATTGACTTCAGTTATCCTCTTAAATTATAAAGGTTTTAGCCAATTTTCTACCTGGATTATTTGGGGGTTCTGTTTCTGAGCAAAGTATTGGCTGTTTTACTAAATAGCTAACCACATATAGATATCTCACGAGAAGCCTCAAACTAGCCATTTCCCATATTTGATTTGTCAGCTACTTTCAAAGCATACTTCTCCCCCTGAATTCTCCACCTTGGAGAAATGAGTCAGCATCCACTAGACCACTTAGGCTGGAAATTTAGGAATAGTTGACTTCTTGCCATTCTTCATCCATCCTCATCTTCACCTTCCCCGCCACCTTTCTCTCTCAATCTATCTCTAGATTCTGAAAATTCACCCCTATTTCCATCCATACTGTCACTCTCTCATCTTATACTATAGCAACAACTTCCTAATATTTTCTTTGCTCAGTGTCCCTCCTTGTCTCACCACCAACAAACTAATCCCAATTTAAAAAGTTCCTCTAACTATTCAGATATAGATAAAACTACTCCATACCTCCCATCCTCTAGCCACAAGAGTCCTACAGCATAGGTATGATTATATTTTACAGGCAAGAAAAGTGACGCCTAGAGAGACTGACTGACTTGAATTCTGCTAGGTCTCTCCTGTAGATCTCTCTCATCAATAACTCTCATACAGCTGTTATAAAGAGGAAATGATGAAATAATACGTGTTAAGTGCCTAGAACAGTGTCTGGCACATAACACTCGGTTACGTTACGTTTAGTTACTATTAGGATCACTTAAAGGGTTTTAACTGCTCTTACTTTTCAGTGCCTAACAAAGAAAAAAAGCAAGCGTTCCAAATCTGGTGGATTGATTCAGCGCCCTATCTCCTTACAGACATATAGCTCCTCACTCAGAGTTAATTACCTCTTTGGGCTCCTCTGTCCACCTGAGGCATGGGCAAACATGGCTCGCACTAGGGCGGTGTCAGGACCTACACTGTCTGGAGCATGGCTGTTGAGATATGAATAGGCCGTGCGGGACGACGCGTACGCAAGTGGTAGGAGCTGTGAGCCCAGTTAGGAGACGATGACCACTAGATCAGTACGGACTGTACTTCCTGTGCATCCTCAGGCAAAAAAAACCTCCATGTTTCAGGCCTCTCTTTCCATTTTTGTCTAAAAAGGAATTTATTATTCCTTGTGCTTCCTCTTTCACAGGGTTGCTGTGACGACCCTGAAGTAGGATGTAGGGGAGGTCGCTCCGTTATGCTAAACCTGGAGCTTTAAAAATGGCGAGGGAGCCGGGAAGGGGAGTCACGTGACAAACTCAGCCGGGTCATCTCAGGCCTCCGAGAGGTAGCCCTAGAACGTCTCATCTCTATGGTGGATGACCCTCAAACGCTGGTGCAGGCGTAGTAGATCTTCCGGGGTAATCGCCACTGCTTCCGGGGCGGGACGCGGCGAGCCGGGGTTGCTGTTCTTCAGCTTCCTCCTGGCTTGTATCTCTGTGCTCACTGCTGCAATGAGCTTCCTTAAAAGTTTCCTGCCGCCGGGGTCGGCTGAGGGACTCCGGCATCAGCAGCCAGATACCGAGGCTGTGCTGAACGGGAAGGGCCTCGGCAACGGCACCCTTTACATCGCTGAGAGGTAGGGTCCGTGTTCCCGGGGGCTGCTCCTGCGCGCCGCCTGCTGCAGAGGAGCTGGGGTGAGACCGCGACATCAGTGGCTGCTGGGAGCGGGAGCGCGTGCTCCCTGTCGCCTCGGGGATACCTCTGCTAGGAGGGAGCTCGATTGTTCTCGTGCCCTTTCCTCTGGAGCCTTCCTTTTCCTCTTCTTCAGAGGGAATTCTCCTCATTGATTGTGCTTTTTACTTGTCTGTTTCCGGAGGTCTAGTGCGTGCCTTGTTCTCTATTCAAGGTCTTGTTTTAAGGTTTTGAGTTTCTAGACCCCGAGTTAGAGTCATCGATATGACTGACTGTCTTTTCTGATGAACAGGTGCGGGAGATGTTGCCCTGGGCAGGATTTTGTGGAGGATTTTGGAAATTTGGTCAGGGATTTAGATTTTCTTCCATAGGTGTGGGTGGGGAGAGGAACAACCTCAACTCCACGCAGGCTGGGATCGTATCCACAGGGACCTCTCAGTTCCCATTTCTGACGCCCATTTCCATTCCTAGAAGAAATTGCCCTTTTATTTGGTCACTTAGAACACTTTATATTTTCACAGTCAGATAGACATGTCTTAAATATTGCGATTCTAGAACTGAAGGCCCTGTTTCCTTTACACAGGGACCTTACTGTCTTTCAGATCTCTCTCTAACTTTCCCTTCTGCTGCATCACTTTGGGCTACAGCCAGAGGAAATTCTCTGCTTTTAAGAGCTCGTGTTGGACCCACACAGATAATCCAGGATAATCTCTCTATTATTTTGTCAACTGATTAGTAACCTTAATTGCATCTGCAAAGTCCCCTTTGCCTTGTAACACAGTATTCACAGTCTTGACACCAGGGGATGAAGATTATAGGAGCCAAAATTCTGCTTACCTCAGAGGACACACACATGCACAAAATATAAAGAACTCTTTGTTTAGAGAGAAATCCAGACCTTGAGCAAAGTTTAGGCTTTTGACCAGTGAGTGAAATAGGAACTGTGGATGGGAGGAAAAGGAAATTCGGGCTGAAATGCAGATAATAAGTTTGGTCTGGACATGTGGGGATTAATTGGACATATGTGCTTATCTTGGGAGAGCGGTGTTAATGGTAGAAATCATTAGTGTAAGTGTTAGCAAATACTCATGGGACTAGATTAGATACCCCAGAAGAGAAGGGGGCCAAGGATAGAACTGTGGTGACACATCTACATTAAGAGTTAGGTCATGGAAGAAGAGACTTGAGGAGAGAAGAGGGAGTAACAATTAAATAAAATAAGATCTGAAAAGCATCTGTTAGGTATTGACAAGGAGATCTTTGGTGATCTTGAGAGAGCAATTTCTTTTAAGTGGTGGAAAGCGGAGCAAAGATAGATTTCTAGCTCTTACACAATCCTTTTTTTTCTCTGTGGCTTCTCTGTATATTGGCTCTTCTTTCTATAATGTAACTCCATTTGGGGGGAAGATCCTATACTTGTTTTTAAATTTTGAAAAATTTCAAATCTAAGGAAAAGTTGCAAGTGTTGTTAATTAATACCTATAGACCCTTCACAAAGATTCATCACTTAATATTTTGCCATGTTTATCTCTCTCTTTTCTGAGCTATTCGAGAGTCGTAGATATGTCGCGACTTTACCTGTAAATACTTGAGCGTATATCTCCTAAGAACAAAGACATTCTCTTTATGACCACAATACAGTTATCACACTCAGGAAGCACAAACTCCTAAAGTTCTTATCTATTTAAAAATTTATGTCAGCTTTTACTAACAAATCTCTTACCTTTCTTTAAGAAAATATTTTTGTAAAATATACATACAAAAAAGAATGTTATAGGTCTATGGTTTAAAGAATTATAATTAAACCAACATCTGTACATCCACCATTCAGGTTAAAAATAGGATATTACCAGTACCTTGGACACCTCTGTTCATTCTTCTATACTCATTGTTAACTTCACTTCCCCCTTTATGTTCTTTCCTACCTAGCATTTCCAAGTCTTGATAGACTCAGGCTCTCAAACTAGGAAGGCTTCCTGGAGGATGTGACAAATGAGGATTAACAGTTAACCATGTAAATGAGGGGGGGCAAAGGGGAATTGTTCTAATTAAAAGAAATAGAGTGCTGAGTGGCAAGTGTGAGAAACAGTATTGTGCTAGGATATGTATGTGTGTATGTGTATTTTTTTTAAGTATGCATGTAAAAAATATGTACGTACATACAGTACACACACAGTTTAACAGTTCTTCATCTGAGGAAATGAGAGAGAAAGATTGGAAAAATAATAAAACTGGAGAAAGAGAGAGCCATGTTCACAAGCTTGGCTTATAGCCCTTGGGCTTCGGGGAAACCATTTTAGGTAAAGAAGAACAGCGTCTGATTTGGTTTTAGGTAGATAGTTTCTCAGATGTATATTGAGAGATTTAGAATTATCAGGCTTAGTTTTCATAGGAAGTTGATGTTTTATGGATAAAAAAGGGAATAAAGGCTTGAATTATTCAAAATAGATCATTTGAAACAGGTAAAATAGAATAGGTTATTAAATTAAAATAAGTAATTTAAACTTACAAGTAATTCTTTTTATATCTTATTCCAAAATTATTTTAAAACCAAATAATTAAACCAACTCGAATTCAAGCTCTCTTAACTGCCTGTCCTATCTTCACACCATGCCAGGAGTAAAGGATACTGATCATACTGTGCAAAAGCATTGGAAATAAGCAAAACATTCCTCTGCATGTTTACTGGCTTTCTAATTCTTGTTTTTCCCTTTTATGATTCATGGTTTCTTTGAGACTGGGTATAGTTAATTTGATTTTTATTTTTGTTTGTTTTTTGTTTTGGAGGGCTTTTCTTCTAGAATATATAAAAAGAGAATAAATAAAAATCAGAACTTCATGGTCAGAGTAAATGTTACTTTTAAGTGGAACTTCTTGTGTTCTATAGAGTGTATAATCCATGTCCATGTATAAGATTATGAGGACTCCATAGGAAATGTGCTGAGGCAGCATTTTTATCCTGCCAGCAGTAAGAAACTACAGAGCAATTACTATGTGCTTTTCAAAGTAAAGGCCATAATTTGGTGGGCACTGGGTCTGTGTTTGTATTTCAGTTTTTCCGTCTCCTGATTGAGTCATTAAAGTTTTCTGGCTCTGGATATTTGAAATTTTGGACACCTAAATTTGGAATACTTTCTGAATTGTGATAGTGCCAGGAGATTTTTGAGGTGAGAGAAAAGAGTTTATTTGCTTAAAATAATAATAGTTTTAGTAAAGGACTGGCAATACCTCTATGCTACATGAACACTATTTCATCTCCATGTTAAGACGAAAGCAGTGGACAGGAAAGGCACACGCAGTATGCACCGTCTAATTACAATAATAAAATCTATTCCCTTGGGATGAGTCATTCTAGAAAATCATTTATAGAGCTTTTACCACTTTAAGCTCCTTAACATTTACCAATTTAAGCCTCCCAGGTTTTCTTTTTCTTGTTTAATAAGCATGTTCAATGAAAATCTTTCCAAATGTCTACATATTTTCTCACTTTTGCTTTTTTGTGTACATTTAGTATATTTACAGAGTCGTTCAGTTTTCATCACAATTTAATTCTTTTGTTTTTGATAAGTGAGGGTCACGTGTTACACACTTGTGCTGTTAGACATTGATATCCTTTAGGGGGACTGAAGTGTAAATTCAACCTCCTTTTACATTGAATATGAATGAGTTGACTGCTGCACTGTCATTGTTCTTGTGCTAGGGAGTCCTGGCTTCTCTTTTCTTTGGTTTTGATCGGTTATAAACTAGACAACCAGTTAAGAGAAAAAAATTAAAAAAAGAAATTAGACAATTACAGTTGTTAAAATTGTGTAGAAAACAGAATGATACAGGGGTTATATTGTATTAACTTTTTAATAACAGCTTTATGGAGATACTGTAACTCACATGACATATAATTCACCCATTTAAAGTGTACAATTCAGTAGTTTTTAGTCTATTTACAGAGTTGTGCGACCATCACTACAGTCAATTTTGGAATATATTCATCGCCCCCCAAAAGAACTGGCACCCATTAGCCAGTTCCCATTTCCCTCCCGCCCTGTGTAACCAGTATGTTATATAACTTTTATTGCATTAACTTTTTTGTTGTTTCTTGACATTTTTGCTACATTTTTTTCCTGCTAAGTGATGCAGTTCCCGATGGTTAAGTATTTATTACCAGCAACATACTAATTTTGGTGATATGTTTCTTTTATTACACCAGTAAAATATTTGCATTTGACCACTTTTGAGGGAAAACTAGACCTTGCTTATCTGTGGCTTTCTCTTAAAGCTGCAGAATAAATGAAAGTCTTCATAAAGTCTATCTTTCAATATGATAATTATTTTCTAACTTGTGGTAAGTATGATTACAGCCATTTCATGTGCCTGTCATTTAATGTAGGGTTAGTGGAGAAAATAGTGATTCCTGGGTATTTATATGTTTACATACTGAGCTCTATGCTAGTGGTTTTGAAGAACGTTAAATAAAGAATATGACAGGTTCTCCTGTCAATTAGCTCACATTCTCTGAAGGTACACATAAAATTCATATTATCACAGAGTTAAGTGCTAAATGATGTATTACTGAGCATAAGCACACTTTAGAAAAAGAA